CCCACACACACATCACACACACACACACACACACACACACACACACACACACACACTAACACATTTTTACACTTATATACACAACACACTCGCACATACTCCCTCCCCCCAACACACACATTTTATTAGGCCCCATTCAGCACTACATTAGCCTTACCTCCAATGGCTCCTGAGGAAGCCTACGCGGCCAAACTTTGAGCTGAATTAATAAATTAATTATATTTTATTTATACTCTTGGTATGTAAATCAATCATGACTCTCCCTACCTACTCTGCTTTTAAACAATGATGATGATGATGATGATGATGATGATGATGATGATGATGATGATGATGATGACTGTGGACTCATACCATTTTGACCTTCTCCTCGTTGTTTCCGACCAGGGTAATGAGCAATGGTGTATTGACGAAGCCCGGACTGAAGGGAGACGAGAGAAGATCCTCTGGTCACGACGAACACTTCGATGACTTACCCCTTGACTTAACCAACAATGATTTAACCATTGATGATTTAATCAAAGATGATTTAACCAACCATTGCTGATTTAATCATTGATGATTTAGCCAATGATGATTTAACCAGTGATGATTCAACCAATGATGATTTAACCAGTAATGATTTAACCATTGGTGATTTAACCTAAGATGATTTAATCAAGATGATTTAACTAACCATTGATGATTTAACCATTGATGATCTAACCAAAAATGATTAAACCAACCATAATGATCCAGGTTGATTTAACCAGTGATGATTTTGCCAATGATGATTCAAAGAGTGATGATTTAACAAAGATGGTTTAACCAAGATGATCTAACCAGTGATGATTTAGCCAATGATGATTTAGCCAATAATGATTTAACCAAGATGATTTAACCTGTGATTATTTAACCATTGATGATCTATTATCTATTATGTGTGTGTGTGTGTTTGTGTGTGTGTGTGTGTTTGTGTGTATGTGTGTTGATGTGTGTTGATGTGTGTCTGTTGTGAGTGTGTGTGTGTGTGTTGGTGTGTGTGTGTGTTGGTGAGTGTGTCTGTGTGTGTTGGTGAGTGTGTCTGTGTGTGTGTGTGTGTGTGTGTGTGTGTGTGTGTGTGTGTGTGTCTGCGTGTGTGTGTGTGGGGGGGGGGTTGGTGTATGTGTGTGTGTGTGTGTGTGTGTGTGTGTGTGTGTGTGTGTGTGTGTGTGTGTCTATGTGTGTCTGTGTGTGTGTACTTGCTGTTATCTAACCTGACTGAATTGACCCTGACCCCAGCAGGCCCCCACTCTGTACTGTCAGTAAACAAGACACACTGCCGCTCTAACGACTCCCCGACACAAGCACAAAGTTCTAAAGCTATACATGTATTCCTATCACTGTCACTTAAACTTACACTAATTCAGAAGCTGTTCCTCCTTTACTTGGTGGCTTTTAAGGACAAGCGGGCTAGTCCAGATTTTGGAGGCTTCTAGAAATCTTGACCTACACCAAAGGTGGGCATTACCCTACAGGAGGAGTTTGGTTTCATTGGTGTGTATATTTGTTTTGCTATATAGAGAAAACTCTCCGTGTCTTTTTAAAGAAACTGAACAAGGGTCCAAAAACGTTACCTTCGATTTTCTCAAAACAAAATTTTTCGGGATAGGCCTACTCCCCTTGTGCTTAAAAGCGATCACTTCTAAGCCTACATATCCCACAGTTAGATCTATATTCCTAATCCTAAACAAAACGCATTATCTATATTTCTGACCCTAACAAAAAACCAATTTTGTATACGCATATGGGTTACATCACAGTTCACCAAAGACTCTTTTTTGTTGCAAAACTAGTTACAAGAAATTAATTTTATAGTGAACACTTTTTTACTCTGAAAGTTCTCAAAACATGCGTTCAATAAAGATAATCTCGAGATTAGAAAAACATGATGGACTTGCTTTTAAAAGTGATATCGTCCTAGTTGTAATCCTTTTAAAATCAGTAGAAATCACCCACAACGATTTTTTAAGTGTATATTAAGGAATTTTCTAGAATAGAGCTAGCAGGTCTTTACGAAAATATTGAATTGTTAAGACAAATTGATATAAGTCACCGTGCAAAAGCTGGAGAGTTTATGTTCTATATAACATAGTGAAGGAGATATTGACAATACGTTGCGCCACGAATTTTTGACTGCACTATAGCTCTGCGGCCTCTTATTGTTTCTTGAAACTGACAATATGTACTCAATTCACATCTGAAAATAGTAGCCAGCCAACCAAGACCAACGATTGCTCCCTTACAAGTAGAAATGTGTGTGTGGGGGGGTTCCATCGCCACTTTTCCTCAAGGCTTCTTGTGAACTCACTGAACGCACTGGGACTCTGCTCCACATACCGAGAGGCTCAAAGACTTAAACTGAATGCTGCTGTTGGGTCACTAACTGGAAATATTCACGACTATAGCACACAGCTGTATTCAGTTTGAGGCATTCAACTTTGACCACAGTAAATGACTCCAGATGGAGAAAGGGCATTCAAGGCATGGGGATCACAGCAGCGCTCACACCTACTCAACTTTAAAAAACACGTTTTTTATCCCGGTCATCAGTGTAAAAAAAACAAACCCATCACTTTCCAAGTGGTTCTGTATAGAGAGAAGCCTTTGGTAGCGAGAAGACTGGGAAGCAACGGAGTATCATTCTTTCTTTAAGCCTTCATTATTTTGATGAGCGCCTGATGTTACCACGCTGCCACACTTCTCTATCTATGCAGCTCTATGCATGCTATTTTTGTATTTGGGAAAGTTCCCACACTTCTCTATCTATGCTGCTCTATGCATGCTATTTTTGTATTTGGGGAAGTTCCCACACTTCTCTATCTATGCAGCTCTATGCATGCTATTTTTGTATTTGGGGAAGTTCCCACACTTCTCTATCTATGCAGCTCTATGCATGCTATTTTTGTATTTGGGAAAGTTCCCACACTTCTCTATCTATGCAGCTCTATGCATGCTATTTTTGTATTTGGGAAAGTTCCCACACTTCTCTATCTATGCAGCTCTATGCATGCTATTTTTGTATTTGGGAAAGTTCCCACACTTCTCTATCTATGCAGCTCTATGCATGCTATTTTTGTATTTGGGAAAGTTCCCACACTTCTCTATCTATGCAGCTCTATGCATGCTATTTTTGTATTTGGGAAAGTTCCCACACTTCTCTATCTATGCAGCTCTATGCATGCTATTTTTGTATTTGGGAAAGTTCCCACACTTCTCTATCTATGCAGCTCTATGCATGCTATTTTTGTATTTGGGAAAGTTCCCACACTTCTCTATCTATGCAGCTCTGTGCATGCTATTTTTGTATTTGGGAAAGTTCCCACACTTCTCTATCTATGCAGCTCTATGCATGCTATTTTTGTATTTGGGAAAGTTCCCACACTTCTCTATCTATGCAGCTCTGTGCATGCTATTTTTGTATTTGGGAAAGTTCCCACACTTCTCTATCTATGCAGCTCTGTGCATGCTATTTTTGTATTTGGGAAAGTTCCCACACTTCTCTATCTATGCAGCTCTGTGCATGCTATTTTTGTATTTGGGAAAGTTCCCACACTTCTCTATCTATGCAGCTCTATGCATGCTATTTTTGTATTTGGGAAAGTTCCCACACTTCTCTATCTATGCAGCTCTATGCATGCTATTTTTGTATTTGGGAAAGTTCCCACACTTCTCTATCTATGCAGCTCTATGCATGCTATTTTTGTATTTGGGAAAGTTCCCACACTTCTCTATCTATGCAGCTCTATGCATGCTATTTTTGTATTTGGGAAAGTTCCCACACTTCTCTATCTATGCAGCTCTATGCATGCTATTTTTGTATTTGGGAAAGTTCCCACACTTCTTTATCTATGCAGCTCTATACATGCTATTTTTGTATTTGGGAAAGTTCGTCACTTTGGCCATCTGAAACTTCGGAACCACTTAACTTTCGAATGTGACAAAAGTAACGGTGGTTTAGAATCATTTAAAGGGTGCACAGTTCTATTGAGGAGCCTGAAGTCACTGTAGTTTAATTTTCAGTTTTTTGTTAGTTTCGTTTAAATCTGATCTTGGGAAAGTCCGTCTTCTAAGATGCCATTGTAAACAAGTGAAGTTTCTGTTCAATAGCCCTGCGCACTGTTTCTACACTTTTGAAATTCTGGAGTGTACAACCACGAAAGCGGAATAGAGAATCAATCTTTACATCACTCTATCTAAACCTTCTAATTCTAATTTTTTGCATCTCTCGGGATTTTTTGCTCCATTCCAGTAGAGTGTAAATATAATAGGCCAATGACTTTCAATGGATGTTAATGCACCGACCATTCCTTTCATTTTCATCGAAAGGGGGCCCAGCTAGTATATTATTATTATACCGAACCACTTAACTTTCGAATTTGACAAAAGTAATGGTGGTTCAGAATCATTTAAAGGGTGCAGATTTTATTGAGGAGCTTGAAGTCACTGTAATTTAATTTTCAGTTTTTCATTAGTTTCGTTTAGATCTGTTCTTGGGAAAGTCCGTCTTCTAAGACGCCATTGTAAACAAGTGAAGCTTCCGTTCACTAGCCGTGCGCACCAGCACACCTTTGAAATTCTGGAGTGTACAACCAAGAAAGCGGGACAGAGAATCAATCTATACATATATCTGTTATTAGTGTTATATATTTGGCAACCTGGAAACACATGTGCCACTTTTCCCACAAAACTACTACATGTAGTAACTACAGCTGCAGAGTTGAAAGTTGGCAAGTAGGCTACCTACAAAAAGATAGATAGGTCCCCATGACCGAGCCCGACTTTTGATTTATTTATTTCCTGAATTTAGAAAAAATATAGTTGACAAGAAGTGATCGTCCTTCTTTGGCTTTTGTGATTTTTCCGCTGAGACTGAGAAACGAAACAAATCTGCGTATCTGTCCTTCACAATGGAATATCTGGAAGTGATATTTCGCTAGGGGCATTAATTTGTTTTGAGAGAATCGATCTAGATCTTTTGGGTTTTGGGGTTGTTGTTTTTTTTAATCTCTCGAGATTAATTATTACTCCTCTCCAGTGGAGTATAAAAATATAGTAGACCAATGACTTTCAGTTGATGTTAGTGCACCGATCATTCCTTTCATCGAAAGGATTGGGGGGTTGGGGGGGGGGGGGGCAGCTAGTCTATATTATACATGTATAAAAATGGACTTGGGAGACTTTGTGCACAAACTCCCCCCTTATTACCTAACCCACACCTTTGAAACTTTGCAGGCGTCCACAGCATCCAAATGTGGCTGGGACCTAACTTTAAAAAATACGCGCAAACTGCTTTCCCCGATTTTTCCAAAATGCTTTGTTTCGTCCACACAGAGTTCTAATCTTGGGAAAGTCCGCCTTCTCAGACTACGCCATTGTAAACAAATGAGGCTTCCGTTCACTAGCCGAGCGCGTTGATTCCACACCTTTGAAATTCTGGAGTGTACAACCACGAACGTGGAATAGGGAATCAATCTAGCCTATACATCTATTATATTTGGCGGCTTGGAAACACGCGTGTCACTTTTCTCTCAAGATTTATTACTCCATTTCAGTAGAGTGTAAATATAGTAGGCCAATGACTTTCGGTTGATGTTAATGCACCGATCATTCTTTTCACCGAAAGGGGGCCCAGCTAATATTATCTATAGATCTAGTAAGCTGAAGGTGCAATGGTACCAATATTCTCTACTACAAAATACAAAAGAAGCAGAGGAAAATTACGGTAGTAATTATAATTGATTAGGAAAGAAAAAGCAGCAGCTCCCCGTTGCAGTTCAGGTACAGTTAATCGGCCTGTTCACAATTCTACTGTGCATAAGAACATGTTAATGTCCCCCTTTTGAGAATGGCTTAAAAGTTAAAGACACTTCAGTCAGTAGCACCGCCCCGAGGGGTAAATAGATACCGGTATAGATAGATAGAATAGATAGATAGGCCCATTATACTTATAGATAGATAGAAGGGGATTAATCTCTTCATTAAACTTGTACCGTAAAGTATAACGAGGATAAAAATAATTATAATGCTTTAGTAATAGTAATTATAATAATAATAATAATAATAATAATAATAATAATAATAATAATAATAATAATAATAATGTTAACAATAATAATAATAATAATAATAATAATAATAATAAAAATAATAATAATAATGTTAACAATAATAATAATAATAATAATAATAATAATAACAATAATAATAATAATAATAATAATAATGTTAACAATAATAATAATAATAATAATAATAATAATAATAATAATAATAATAATAATAATTTAATCGAATAAAACTGTAAAAGCAGGTAGGCCTAAATACTATACTGCTAAAACTGCTTTAACCTTCTTAGTGCTTGTTTGATCGTTCAAAGAAAATGGACGCAGGCCTTCTATCTGATCTTCTATGCTTTGCTTGAACGAATTGTAGTGTAGAGCTAATCAAATTTGGAACATGAAGTCAGTTTCACTTTTCTTCTTCATGGCAATGTTTATTCGTTTTTATAGAAGTGATTGTGTGTACATGTTAGGGTAGTGTCATCATTGACATTGTGACTGTGTTATCAAGATGGATGACATTTCCTACAAGTAAACAAATCATAATGGACGTCAACTGTGAGGAAAACACAACAATAACAATGTATAGACTTAAATCTGGATATGATAATGGCTCTGGATGTGTGAAAACTTGTGATTTATTTGTTCCTTGTTCTTCTGGAGAAGGTGTGAATCTTGGGATTGATAGCATAGTTGTTAAAAGTGAACCTACGGCTAGTTCTGGGACTAGATCTAGATCTAGTACGGCTACTCTTTGTACTAACAGTTTAAGGGAAGATGTAAAACATGACATTATAGGTAGGGAAAGTGAATCTGTGGGTGTTGGTGAGGAACATCTGTCAGTAAAAGAAGAGTCCAGTTTTGAATGTCTGTGTGACGCCAAGGCCGAGACAAATGACAAACTGAACGTTGAAAGTGAAAGTAGCCTGACTCTCAGACACAGTGTAGTAAAAGATGAGCCTATCTGTACAGAGGAGGAAGACGTGAAACCTGTCATTAAACCAGAGTGCCTCACAGATATCTGTACGGTGAAAACGGAACCACTATTTGGACATTTTCCTGACTTTGGTGATGAAGTGAAACCAAAAGTGGAGAATTTTGTGAAAGAAGAAGTGTCAGAATGGGAAGGTCCAGACTTTGGAGAGGTAGGAAAGACAGAAGGACAAGTGGGAGATGTGGAGGATACGTGTACTGAGCCCGTGTCTGTTGAGGATCACATGAGTCAGGCTGGAGGACTACAGCTGCAAATCTCCAATGTGAAGAGCTTGTGTATGGAGCAGAGTGCCAGCCCCGACACTGATGTTGTTGCTTCCAGTAGTCCAACTTCAACTTTCTCTGCCGATCCAGTCACAAGTTCAGGGTCTGTTGTCAGGACCAGCTGGGATCACGGTGAAAGTTCTGGTACATAGAATCCTTCCGTGTGTGGACTTTTCGATACGATGTGTTTTGAATTTCCTGATGCGGTTTGTCAAGTTGTTAAAAATTGAGCAATTCCATGTCATGCCAGGTACATATAAATATATGCATCATGCAGTTATACTGGCTTGACAAATTCTTTGGGCCTAATGTTCATTGAATCTGAGTGTTTATTCGTCATGACTTTAAATTTTTAAAAATAATGATCGACAATGAAACGTTTTAAAGTGTTTGAAAGTAGATCTGCTTTTATTGGATCAGAAAAAGCTGTAGCGGCAATGGAATTTGCTGTTGAAATAATTAAATTGGTGCTATCTCGTTATACCGCCAGCCCCGCTGTACCGCCAACTTCATGCTTATCCCAAGGTAGGCGGTATAAGACGGGATTTGACAAGATAGAGAGATGTAAATTTTTTAATTAAACCCCTTTACCTGATTTTCGTCAGTCCCAGACCTTTCGCGTTGCACAGCACTGTGAGCCCATAAAAGCCTTGTCGTGAGATATATCGACAAGCTGAGGTGGCACAGTTCCTTTGAAGTTTCTCCAGACGTTTATTTACTTTATTTATGGTTTTTATGTTTGGACAGGAGATTTAAGCAAATGGTTTGCTGCCGCCGTTTTTTTCAATGATAGTGAGGTACAACTACTGGTGGCTACAGCTTGGCATGGAGAGCTAAAGGCTGGGCAATTTAGGCAAAATAACATTATGTTATAATGTGTGTATTATTAATAGAATGGGTTTTTCTTTTGCTATGATACTATTGATACATTGCATTTCCATCTCCTTTGAAATTAAAGGAAAGTTGGGTTGTTGTTTTTTCCAATAAATGATTGTCAATCTCACTAGACTCACTGTCCACTTCCTCATTCCATCACACGGTGACATGACAAGGCAAACTGTCTTTTCTTTGACTTTATGCCTGTACAACGCAGATGTGCTGACCACTTTTTTGTCATTCCTTTTGTGGGTCGGTGGAAAGAAATCACAGGTCTCCAACGTTTACGATTACAGAAAATAACCCAGTGTTCCTGTGGTTGTTGTGTGTTCCTTCTCTTGCAATTAAAAAAATGACATGGTGTTTGAGAAAAGGGACCAAAAGCACAAGTGGGATGAATGTGTAGACAGTCATAGTAAATTTTAGGCTTTTGTTTTAAGTGTGTAGGATAGCAACCGCATCTCATCTTGATCTTTTGTTTTCTGTTGTTAGATTCATTATAATATATTATTTATATGTTAGATAAACTTGGGTAGATAACTTGTGTATTTTTTTTACTTCTTTCAGTTGTTTCATCTTACCGTTAGCGTTAGAAAACACATTCATCATTTTTGTCTTCTTCCAGATGTTTCATCTTACTGTCAGGGTTAGATAACTTGTCCATTATTTGTCTTTCCCAGGAAAACATCTTAACGGAAGTTCAAAGCATGAGTCTGGCGGCAAAAGTCGTATGTCTTGTGATAGTAAACAGTCCATGGGACAAGGTCCCGATTTCAACCTTTCTTGTGCTAAGTCTTTTGCCAGTTGTATAAATTCTACGGAATCTTCTAGTACCACACCCCCAAAAGTGTATAAAGAGATGGGCGCTGGTTGCCAAGATGTTCCAAGGTCTCTGGTCAGGGAAAGCAGATACTCAGGAGAACAACCTCACAAGTGTAATGTCTGTCTTGAGATGTTTACAGAACTAGGTGACCTACAGAGACACAAAAGAACTCACTCAAGAGATAGGCCTTACAAGTGTGAAGTTTGTGGTACCACATTTACTTGTAGCAGAAATTTACAGAGACACAAAAGAATACACACAGGAGAAAAACCTTACAAGTGTGAAGTTTGTGGTGTCACATTTATATGTAACAATAGTCTACAGAGACACAAAAGAACACACACAGGAGAAAAACCTTACAAGTGTAAAGTTTGTGATGCCACGTTTACACAGGGTAGCAATCTACAGATTCACAAAAGAACACATACGGGAGAAAAACCTTTCAAGTGTGAAGTTTGTGGTGCCACATTTACACAGGGTAGCAATCTACAGGGTCACAAAAGAACACATACAGGAGAAAAACCTTACAAGTGTGAAGTTTGTAGTTTTACGTTTGCACAGAAGAGCGATCTACAACGTCACAAAAGAACACACACTGGAGAAAAACCTTGCCAGTGTGAAGTTTGTGGTGCCGCGTTTACTCGCAGTAGCAATCTACAGAGTCACAAAAGAACACACACAAGAGAAAAGCCTTTCAAGTGTGAAGTTTGTGGTGCCACGTTTACTCGCAGTAGCAATCTACAGAGTCACAAAAGAACACATACAGGAGAAAAACCTTACAAGTGTGAAGTTTGTGGTGTCACGTCTGCACGCAAGAGGGATCTACAGCGTCACAAAAGAACACACACTGGAGAAAAACCTTGCAAGTGTGAAGTTTGTGGTGCCAGGTTTGCACAGGGTATCAGTCTACAGTATCACAAAAGAATACACACAGGAGAAAAACCTTTCAAGTGTGAAGTTTGTGGTGCCACGTTTACTCGCAGTAGCAATCTACAGAGTCACAAAAGAACACATACAGGAGAAAAACCTTACAAGTGTGAATTTTGTGGTTTTACGTTTGCACAGAAGAGCGATCTACAACGTCACAAAAGAACACACACTAGAGAAAAACCTTGCCAGTGTGAAGTTTGTGGTGCCGCGTTTACTCGCAGTAGCAATCTACAGAGTCACAAAAGAACACATACAGGAGAAAAACCTTACAAGTGTGAAGTTTGTGGTGTCACGTCTGCACGCAAGATGGATCTGCAGCGTCACAAAAGAACACACACTGGAGAAAAACCTTGTAAGTGTGAAGTTTGTGGTGCCATGTTTACACGCAGTAGTGGTCTACAGCATCACTAAAGAACACACACTGGAGAAAAACCTTACAAGTGTGAAGTTTGTGGTGCCATGTTTACACGCAGTAGTGGTCTACAGCGTCACAAAAGAACACACACTGGAGAAAAACACCAATGACGAGCCTGCAAGATGGTGCTCCCGCCAGTTGTTGCCGAGGGATGTCAGTCTACCAACCGACAAACCAAGACGACAGCTGCAGAAGGCGTCGACCCACCTGGAACACTAGGACCTCAACAACCAGCCCGGGTTTTTCCTTGGCGGCCAGCATAACCCGGCCTGGCTGGCCCGCTTGCTGATTTTGGCCGGGGACGTGGAGCAGAATCCGGGACCCCGCTGGCCCTGTGGAGTATGTGGCGACAGTGTCAACCCAGTATCACAACAGACAGCCAAGAACATCATCAAATGCAACTCCAGGGAACAGTGGCTGAATGGATGGGCAATGGGCAAAACTGGAAGAACTGTATTTGCACACATGACTGCCCCCAACTCTAAAGTTGCAATAAATTCCCTGAGTAGAAGAGAACAAGTCACGATCTTTCACCTGCGAACACAACACATACCACTAAATTCTTACCTTAACAGGATCCGCAAGGATACCCCACTCGACTGCCCGTTGTGCGACTGCCAGGATGAAACAGTACCACACCACCTCTTTAACTGCCCAGCACTTTGCGACCTGCGTAGCACCTACCTACCTGCCCCCCCAGACATCGGAAATACTATGTATACAGGAACAAAGCACAGCTGATTAAAACCTGTCAATTCTTTGCCGTATCGACAGACCGAAGGGCTAGAACCCAAATGGCCGCTGGATCGGAAAAGTAAAGTAAAAAGTAAAGTAGTGCTTGCAAAAGCAATATCGACCCGATGTCAGGAGTGTTCTGTGGGTCCACCTCCTGTGCTCTGACCTCAACCAACATATGGCCTAAATAAGGTAAGGGAGGGGGGGTTAGCTTATTTAGGCCACACATGCTCAAACTACCGGGGGACACCCTTTTCAGGCAACTGAGTTCGTTCCACTTTCATAATGGTGCACCTTTCTCATTTAGTACAGTTTTGTCTCAGTGTACAACTTATATATATTATATCATAATGAATATTGTAAGAACAAAGCACGATACGCAAAATTTTGCTCAATCCCCATGGATTGAATGAGGGCCAGATTTTTCCTTCATGGAGGGGCAAAATCTAGGCTACCATTTTGGCACACTTTGGTCAAGTAAAAAGGTCAAATCCTCCGAATGGACTTCCAGGTCAAATTTGGGGTATAAAAAGTGTGTACACAACGTGGCTGAGTCAAAGTTACATTATCTTTGCCTGGGTGGCACTATCTCGTACTGTCTCGTAGTAGTACATCTCTCGTACTGTCTAGTAGTAGAAGTACATGTAGATCTAGTAGTAGTAGTAGTAGTAGTAGTAGTAGTAGTAGTAGTAGTAGTAGTAGTAGTAGTAGTAGCAGCAAAGATCGTGTAGAGAATCTTTGGTAGTAGATTCTATCTAGTAGGCAGTTTACTTTTAGTGAACGTGCACACGGCAGGGCGAATCGGCCTCGATAAGCCCCGTAGACCTTTGTGATCGGCCACGAAGCCTCGTGTTTTGATAGGTCTAAACAACTTAGTGTTAATCGCACTGCCACATCCGACAGGCCTATATCTTTTTAAAAGGAAAAAAAAATGGTAATCAAAATGGTTGAATTTGCGTGAAAATCGATTCGGTAGAACTGGAACTACAGTGGAGTCCACTTATAACGAGTCCGGAAAAAACGAGAAGTCTGTTATAAAGACACTATTCTAAAACCCCGTTTTTTTCTCCTCTTTACCTTTGTAAACAAAATACTGCTATAGCGCTATCAGACACTCTTGTGAGTTGGTTATAGCAGAGTATTGCTACTGCTGTACACATGGCATAGGCCAGTTATACATATTGCAAGACCTCGCCAGTTGAGAAACTTGTTGCTGATCTTGCGAAACAAAGAATAGGAGAGCCCATGTGCGTCAACAATGAAGGCCAGAGCAACTGAGTAGGGAGGGTGTGGCATGCGTAGACAAGTTGGACGCATCGTGTTATGGGCCAGTTTAGATTATCAAGGCCTGCCATGCCTCTCACTTCTCCGATGCGGGGATGGAGAGGTCACAGCAATGTGATGGATGGAGCGAATGTGTGACGTGCGCAAGCAGACAGAATGCACCACAGGGTGGGGTGGGGTGTTGGGGGGAACACAGCAGGCGAGTTAGCCCAGAGCCCTTTCTTTCCGATCGCCAACGCCGAGCTGTCAGTCCACATCGCTAGATCTAGCGCTAGAGAAACAAACCTGATTAGATTTTTAATCAAGTAAGACCTAGAGGTCATGTTGAAACAAAATCATCATCAGGGAAGATAGCAAAAGAAAAAACAGAACACCAAACTCATAGATTAGGCCTACTACAGTTTCCCTTGAATTTATTACTGGATCCCTTATAGCGAGAATCCTGGTATAACGGACATTTTGCTTCGGTCCCCTCCCTCTCGTTATAACAGGATTCCACTGTATTAAAATTTGCTTCTGAAAACAAATTACAAGGCCATTTTTATAACTCGATGGAATAAAAACTTCTGGCTGTGTTATTATGTATAAATTATGAAACTTCAGGACGTATTATTATTTTCCAACATCTTTTGACGCCTTATTAGCTGTAGAGGTTGAAGTTTTCACAACACTAATAGGTCTAGTAATAGGGCTTTCCGTAAAATTTTGCGTAGATCAACAAAAGCCGAACCACCGAATCGACCGGTCAGCGACCCGGGCACCCCTCTCTCCCCTGCACACTGTGATAACATGTTGCTTCTGTATAATTATTCAACTATTAACACGTGCGGCTATGGCAATTGGGATGTACTGAATGACAAAGCGATTCACAGTTTTGTTTTTATTTTACCATATATTTGACTTTAATAGTGCAGGTGATAACTAGAATCTAGATCTAGATTCCCTGTCTAGAATCAGTAGTAGCAGGCCTATGCTAGAAGCAGCCAGAGAGCCTACAACTGCTAGATCTAGATCTAACTCATTGCTATGCCTTTGAGCTTTGGAATTGAAATAAAACGAATTGCACAGTTCTTGTTAATTTTAGATTCAGCAACTATCTGTATTTCCAGAATTAATAATAACAAATTTCACCATAACAATCACATTTACTTTTATTAGAATTTAAATTAGATCCAACTTTTTTTTTCTAAAATCTGTTTTGCGCAAACTTAAGACTTTCTCTACTTGTAGAGCACAGAATTTGCATTGTAAGCCTCTGCTCAGTCTTTTACTTTTAAGTATATATATACATAATAAAATACGTATAGATCTAGATCTATATAATCATTTTATGTTATTTTCTGGATATTTTTAAAACTCTTTTTTTTCACATGTCATAAAGTCAAATTGTGCCTTTTCTTTAGAATAGATCTCTAGCATTCGTAGTGGACTTTTTAGACAGTGAGTCTCTGATTCAATATTTTTAAAAAAATATGCTAATCATTGAAAATTGCAAATTGTATAATAGTATAGTCCTGTAGAGGATAGGTGGACTCCGGGGTCTGCAGAGCGAAATACTAGGTTTAGGATGTGAACCCCGGAGTCACCGTAGTGAAATAAGGTTTGGTTTAAGTAAGGATTGGTGGACCTCTGGGTCAACGTAGTGATAAATAAGCAGGTTTAAGGTGGCCGGGGTCTACCTGGCAAAATACTAGGTTTTAGGACAGGTGGACCCCGGGGTCACCGTAGTGAAATAAGTAGATTTATTTAAAGATCAGTGGGCCCCGGGGTCACCGTAGTGAAATAAGTAGGTTTAATTTTAAAAGGGTTGGTGGACCCCGGAGTCACCATAGCCGTAGAGGAATAAGAAGGTTTAATTAAGGATTGGTGGACCCCCGGGACGCCGTGATTAAACCTACTTATTTTACGACGGTGACCGCATGGTCCACCTATTCTAAAACCTAACTAGTATTAAATTTCGTTAGGTAGACCCTGGGGTCCACCTTAAACCTACCTATTTCACTACGTTGACTCCTGGGTCAACCAATCCTTAAAATTAAACCTAGATCTACATGTACTTATTTCATTTTGTTGACCCCAGGGTCCACAAAACCTTAATTAAACCTAGATCTACTGATTTTACTACGTTGACCCCGGGGTCCACCAATCCTTATTAAACCTTGACTAGATCTACTTATAATTATACTACGTTGACCACGGGCTCCGCCAGTCCTACTATAAAATAAACTGAGATCTACTTATTTCACTATGTTGACCCCGGGGTCCACCGATCCTTAGTCACACCTAGATCTACTTATTTCACTAGGCTGACTCCAGGGTTCACATCCTAAAACAGCATTTTGTTAGGTAGACCCCGCGGTCCACCTATCCTTTTGGGGCTAGATAGACCCCGTGGTCCGCCTATCCACTTCCTTGATAATAACTGAAAAACATGCCAGTTGTCATGAATAGTGAAGAAAAATGTGGGGAAAAAAAAGATAATGAGGTAGACTATAATTTGTAAAAAAAATTGCAAATGCAAGTGAAGATCATAAGATAATTTTGTTATTTTCTGGTCATCTTTTCACGGTTTATAAAATGTTCCAGTGGGCTTACTACTAGATCTATGTCTCTGAAGAACATTTGCTTGACTTTATTAGCTTTTTTCATGTACTTGAAAGCATAGAATAAAATAGTTTCGCACAAATGTATGCACAATACCTTGAAAAAGAAAGATAAGGTCATTGTTGTTGTTGTTTTTTAACGGAATCCGTTTTACGTTTTAAAAAAGCGCTAAAAACAAGTTAAAATTTTTAAAGAATGCCCATAATATTAGGAATCCGAAATTACTACCTTGATCTAGTTTGCTTACTCTTTAATAGCCATGAGCTGTTAAGAAAAAAAGAGAATGATATAGGATTTGTCTAAATATGACCATTAGTATTAGCATTAGTAAGATATTGCCCATTTTGTCCAATTATCCTTGCAGGTAAAATCACCCTGTATTGCACCTCAATAAGTACAAAAAGAATATTTCTGTGACTGTGTATGAGGGGTTTTGTAGTTGAGTTCTATGTAAAATTCTCAACAAAATAATGTACATTTGGACCGTACAACTGAGATAGACACTCATGCACACAATAACATTCACACATTACACACATACAAACACACTACTACATTTCCTCTCTCTCTCTCTCTAGATCTCTCTCTCAACACAACCACACATAAAACAAACACATACACACACACACTCACACACACGCGCGCACACACACACACACACACACACACACACACACACACACACACACACACACACAACTCTTACCCTTGGTCCACTCATCATTTAGTATCCACCTCTATTTTGAAATAATCCCCCGCACTAAATAAAAAGATCAGCAGAATCTCGACCTTCCGAATCCATGGTTAGTTCAAGAAATCTACCATATGATGTGGCCTAAATAAGGTAAGGGAGGGGGGTTTAGCTTATTTGGGCCACAGTGTGGCCTAAATAAGGTAAGGGAGGGGGGGGGGGTTAGCTCATTTAGGCCACAGTGTGGCCTAAATAAGGTCACCCTTAAATAATTAATAAAGGGTGATAGATCTAGGGGATCTACGACAATGTAGTCAACTCGCGAGGGGAACCTCGGAAGACGACAAAGATAGATGGTGGAAAAAACATCATCTATTTTCTATTTTGGGCCAATCACAGAGGTGTGCTGGGTGCTCTCAATAGCTTCTTGTAGCTCGGAAGGCCGTTAGGCCGTGTTTACGCTACCCAAGGAGTTTAGAACTATCTCCTTGACGCTACCTAATCAAAGTAATGCGGAGTGCCCACTACGGATGGGATCGCCCTACTCGGTCGCCCCAAAAACATTTTCAGTTTCTGGCGATTGAGTCGGGCGATCAGCCCGATCCAGCCGTAGTGGGCACCCCGTATAAAGATCTAGGTGACCGGCTCCGGGTGGGCAGAAAATGCTAGCCACCCGAGGTCGCAGAAATCCCCACGGGCCAGTAGCGTCAGGCTACTCGACTGAATTCGGTCGACTAGCCTGACGTTAGCCACCCGACATCGGGCGAGTAGCACCGATGTAGCCTACATATGTATGCCTTCTTATATTCTCGGCATGAAAATAACTACACATGGACACCTTAAAAAGTTATAATTATATATTATGAAGTAGCTTTTTTGATTGTTTTGAAAATCGCCAAAATCGCGGGCGCGATTCGCGGATCAAAACATGCCAAAAATCGCATTGATGGATGGATAGATGGATGGATGGATGGATCCCCCCGAAAGATAGTTCAGATAGACAGATAGAATTTGTATTCTTCCATATATATAAACTTGTAACAATGATACCAATAATGATAATAATAATTATAATACTTGTACATTGTACTTGTAGTAATAGAGGGTATTTTTTTACTTTCCCTCCCGTCTCACACTCAGCTACCAGTTGTCTATTTTCTACTAAATATTGATGCGCTGAACACGAATATCAACTTCATTTCCGTCGCAAATTAATGGTTTTTGAAATATTTGATTGTTTTTAACCGAGATAGACATGCTTTGGAACAATCGGGAGGTTCCAGGGGGGCCTGCCCCACTGGGGTAAAAGAAAATCTGGGGGGTTACAGGGGGGCATGCCGCCCTGTTTTTACACCCATAATTTGATATTTTACAGTTAGATTTGAAATTGTCTTGAAAATAATTGATTTGCGACAGTTTTAGTGGATTTCTGTATGATCTGCAGCAAACAGTACAGCAGTTTGACCCCTGAAACAGTGCATCTGTGTGCGGGAGTGAAGGTAAAAATTTACCCAGAATTTGGCCTAGATCATAGAGTTTTATCTCCTTTTAAACAATCAATGGCCTAGATCAGCTAGATCTAGATCTAGATCTACACCAAGGAGTTTAGAACTACTTTTAATCTCCTTGATCTACACATACTATACTGCTGAAACTGTTCTAAAGCTCTGCATACTTAATGGTCGTAGCAATGATATTGATAGTCTTTGGTCGTACTCGTAGTCGTACAAAAAGAAAATGGACGCAATAGTAGGCCTTTCTGATCTGCTTGAACATGCAGAATCAAATTTGGAACATGAAGTCAGTTTGACTTTTCCTTTTCATGACACCGTTTATTCGTTTATCGAAGTAATTGTGTGTACATGTTAGGGTAGTGTCTTCATTGACATTGTGACTGTGTTTTAAAGATGGTGGACATTTCACGGTCCGTTTCCTAAGATCTATAATCTATATAAAATAAATGGACGCCTAGGCTACTGTTGTGAGGAAGACTTAACAAACAATAACAATGTATTTATTTAAATTTACTTAACTTTGGAAATGATAATGCCTCTGGATGTATGAAAACTTGTGATTTATTTGTTCCTTGTGGAGAAGGTGTGAATCTTGGGATTGATAGCATAGACGGCATAGTTGTTAAAGGCAAGGTGAACCTAGATCTATCATCTATGTCTAGATCTAGTTCTGAGACTATTTAATCTAAATCTAGATTAGATCTCTTTGCACTAGGAGTTTATGGGATGATGGTGAAACATGACCGTAGTATAGGTAGTGTAAGTGAATCTGTGGGTGTTGATGAGGAACATCTGTCAGTAAAAGAAGAGCCCAATTTTGAATGTTCGTGTGACGTCAAGGCCGAGACAAATGACAAACTGAACGTTGAAAGTGAAAGTAGCCTGACTCTCAGACGCAGTGTAGTTAAAGGTGAGCCTATCTGTACGGAGGAGGAAGACGTGAAACCTGTCATTAAACCAGAGTGCCTCACAGATATCTGTACAGTGAAAACCGAACCACTATTTGGACATTTTCCTGACTTTGGTGATGAAGTGAAACCAAAAGTGGAGAATTTTGTGAAAGAAGAAGTGTCAGAATGGGAAGGTTCAGACGTTGTAGAGGTAGGAAAGACAGAAGGACAAGTGGGAGATGTGGAGGATACGTGTGCTGAGCCCGTGTTTGTTGAGGATCACATGAGTCAGGCTGGAGGACTACAGCTGCAAATCTCCAATGTGAGGAGCTTGTGTATGGAGCAGAGTGCCAGCCCCGACACTGATGTTGTTGCTTTCAGTAGTCCAACTTCAACTTTCTCTGCCGATCCAGTCACAAGTTCAGGATCTGTTGTCAGGGCCAGCTGGGATCACGGTGAAAGTTCTGGTACGTAGAATCCTTCTGTGTGTGGACTTTTCGATTCGATCCGATGTGTTTTGCTTTTCCTGATGCGGTTTGTCAAGTTTTTAAATTATGTTGTGCAATTCCTTCAAGTTTTTAAATTATATTGTGCAATTCCATGACATGCCAGGTACATTAGATGTTATATCATGCAGTTGAACTGGCATGACAAATTAATTGGGCCTAATTATATGCTAATATTGAATCTGATTGTTTTTTCATCATGACTTTACTTTGTAGAAAGTAATGATGACGATGAATACCACAAAGAAACGTTTTAAAGTGTATGAAAGTAGATCTCTGCTTTTATTGGATCAGAAAAAGCTGTATAGCGGCAATGAAATTTGCTGTTGAAAAAATTCAATTGGTGGTATCCCATCATACCGCCAGCCCCGCGGTACTGCCAACTTCATGCTCATCCCAAGGTAGGCAGTATAAATATTTTATAACAGGGTTTGTTTGTTTGTTTTTGTAAAGTGTTTTACAGCGCTCGCAACTGCATAGGTCATATGTGCGCACGGGACACACCTAAATTTTCAGTTGGTAGGAAATTTTGAATTTTCCCCGGGTGGCGGCCGAAGCCTACTCTTATCGATTTTAGACCACCAAGGGATCTTTAACGTGCGCAACTTGCACACGGGCCCTCCGAGATTTTTTCGCCCTTGTCCGAGAAGGCTAGAGGTGTAGATCTTTCATATCAGAAGATCAGGGGTGTGGCAGAAAGACAGCAGTAAGGAGGGGCCAAGGAGTAGCAGTAGAAAGGCTGCAGAAAGAGTCAGGAGCCCAGAGGAGGGGGCAAAGGAGGTGAGGGGGTGGAGGCAGAAAGTGGAAATGAAAGCAGACAACAGAACATTGCTAGAGAGCAGGAAAGGAGGTGAAAGGAGACAATTTTAGAGAAGAAAATGTTTTGGTCGCTACTCGGATTCGAACCCGGAACCTTTGAATGAGAGGCCAACACCTTAACCTCTAGGCCACGAGAGCCCCCTAACAGGGTTTGAATGATACATGTACATTTAAAAAACCCTTTAACCTGATTTTCCTCAGTCCCAGTCCTTTGGCATAGCACTGTGAGCCCATTCGAAGTCTTGTCGCCAGATATGACATAATTATATAATATATATCGACAAACTGAGGTGGCACAGTTCCTTTGAAGTTTCTCCAGACGTTAAATTTACTTTATTTATGGTTTAAGTTTGTGGACAGGAGAAAAGCAAATGGTTTGTGCCGTCGTTTTTTTTAATGGTAGTGAGGTACAACTACTGGTGGCTACAGCTTGGCATGGAGAGCTAAAGGCTGGACAATTTAGGCTAAATAACATTTATGATATAGATCTAATGTGTGTATAAAATAGATTGTATTTTTGTTCTACGATACATATGTGTGCATTACCATACCATTTCCTTTGAAATTAAAAGAAAGCTGGGTGTTGTTGTTTATTTACGGTAAATGATTGTCCGTGTCATTAAACTCACTGTCCACTTCCTCATTCCATCACACGGTGAATGACAAGGCAAACTGTCTTTTCTTTGACTTTATGCCTGTACAACGCAGACGTGCTGACCACTTTTTTGTCATTCCTTTTGTGGGTCGGTGGAAAAAAATCACAGGTCTCCATCGTTTACGATTGCCGAAAATAACCCAGTGTTCCTGTGGTTGTTGTGTGTTCCTTCTCTTGAAATGTAAAAAAATGACATGGTGTTTGAGAAAAGGGACCAAAAGCACAAGTGGGATGAATGTGTAGACAGTCAGAGTAAATTTTAGGCTTGTGTTTTAAGTGTGTAGGATAGCAGCCACATCTCATCTTGATCATTCGTTTTTTGTGATTAGATTCATTATATTATGTTAGATAAACTTAGGTAGATAACTTTTGTATTTTTTACTTTTTCCAGTTGTTTCATCCTATCATTAGTCATTACTGTTAGAATAACACATTCATTATTTTTGTATTTTTCCAGAAGTTTCTTCTTACTGTCAGGGTTAGATAACTTCTCCATAAATTTGTCTTTTCCAGATATCTCGACTTACCCTCATCATAGGCCACTGACTTCCTGTTCTCCGGTACAACAGACAAGTGATATGCAGAAAAGACAAGGTCAAAGTTCAACCTGTCGATTTCAGACAGGACAAAGGGTCTATGAAGAGAATGTTGGCAGTGTCCGGAAAGAAACCTCTTCTGGTGACATCGGTGCTGTGGAGAGAGTCTGTGACCTCCATCAGAACATAGCAGGTGACAAGCAGATGGACAACAGAAATCTCTACCATGGTCGGGATAAACCTCACGAGTGTAAAGTCTGTGGTGAAATGTTTTCAGAAGTAGGTAACTTACAGACACACGAAAAAAACCACACAAGAGATAGGCCTCACCAGTCTGAAGTTTGTGGTGCTGCATTTACCAAGAGCAGACATCTGCAGGGTCACAAAGGAACACACACAGGAAAAAGACCTTACAAGTGTGAAGTTTGTGGTGCCACGTTTACACGTTGTAGAAGTCTACGGGATCACAAAAGAACACACACAGGAGAAAGACCTTACAAGTGTGAAGTTTGTGGTGCTGCATTTACATGTGGCCCAAATCTACAGCGTCATAAAAGAACACACACAGGAGAAAAACCTTACAAGTGTGAAGTTTGCAGTGCTACGTTTACATGTGGTGGCTCTCTAAAGCGTCACAAAAGAACACACATTGAAGAAAAGCCTTACAAGTCTAAAGTTTGTGGTGCCACATTTATACAGAGCGGACATCTACAGAGTCACAACAGAACATGCACAGGGAAAAAACCTTACAAGTGTGAAGTTTGTGGTGTCACATTTACGCTGAGCGGACATCTACAGGAACACAAAAGAATACACACAGGAGAAAAACCTTACAAGTGTGAAGTTTGTGGTGCCACATTTACACAGGGTAGCAGTCTATATTATCACAAAAGAATACACTCAGGAGAAAAACCTTACAAGTGTGAAGTTTGTGGTGCCACATTTACATGCAGAAGCAATCTACAGACTCACAAAAGAACACACACAGGAGAAAAACCTTTCAAGTGTGAAGTTTGTGGTGCCACGTTTATACAGAGTAGCTGTCTAAAACGTCACAAAAGAATACACTCAGGAGAAAAACCTTACATGTGTGAAGTTTGTGGTGCCACGTTTGTATGCAGTGACAGTCTACAAAGTCACAAAAGAATACACACAGGAGAAAAATCTTACAAGTGTGAGGGTTGTGGTGCCATGTTTGCATGTAGAAGCAGTCTACGGAATCACAAAAGAACACACACAGGAGAAAAAAAACCTTACAAGTGTGAAGTTTGTGATTCCACGTTTACACAGTATAACAGTCTACAGCGTCACAAAAGAACACACACAGGAGAAAAACCTTACATGTGTGAAGTTTGTGGTGCCAGGTTTACACAGGGTCGTAATCTACAAAGTCACAAAAGAAAACACACTGGAGAAAAACCTTACTGACGAAGCTGTCTGACGATGGTGATGAACTTACTTGGGCATCGGTACTTCTCCGTGATCCACCCCAGTCCTTCTGTGCTGACAGTGTCGAAGGCCTTCGTTAAATTCACAAAGGTCACGAATAAGTCAAAGTGTTGCTCCTGGCATTTTTCCTGGAATTGACGGGCAGTAAAGATCATGTCTGTGGTTCCCTGTTTGGCCCGGAAACCGCACTGAGTCTCTGGGAGGAGTCCCTGTTCAAGATGGTGTGTGTGTGTATGTGTGTTTGTCATTTTGTTTGTGTGTGCGCGCGCATGGGTGTGTGTGTGCATATTATGTAAACAGTCTTATTTAATCCAGTGTTTTATGAGAATGCCAGATCAGTAAAATAATATTAACTTTCAGAGCCCAAACTTAAGTTTGTCATCATTGTATTGAAGAAATCATTACATAATTGAGAGAACTTTTAAAATTTGAACAAGGAGTCAGAGAGTATGATAATTATCAGATGATATTGCAAACAATGAAAAAGGCCAAAATTTTCAATGGGTTGATTTCAATCTTGTTTCGGACAGTTTTTTTTCTTTCTGGTATCAGGTGGTGTAGCAGTCAGAGTAAGGCTCCTCGATGTTGCATGCTAGAAACCCGAATTTGATTCCCGAATGCAGAGAGTTTTTATCGAGTGTCTTGCCTTTTCTTCAGGAATCTTGTGTCTCTCTCAGCACGGGTTGGCATTAAAAGCAGGGTAGGAAGCCCGCCCCCTAAGTGATCTAAATTGTGTTGATGGGGGGGTAAAAAGTACCTTCTTTTAAATAAACAACAAAACTGTTTGGTTTTCATGGGTTAATGAATTGTTTTCTTTCATGCAGGCTTGGTATGGACATAGATTCGGATGACCTTGACAGTGAGTCGGACTCAGAGGCCCGTCCTGGCAGTCCCAGCCTCGACAACGGCGCGTCTACGTCCAAGGTCGCTCCCGTGGAGGTGAAGTCTGAGCCAGAGGAGAACTCGTCGGCCACGTCTCGGGTCTCTTCCAGCACCTCAGAACACGGCGACCCCGCCTCTCTCCAGCAAAGTCAGGTGTCGGGTTCAGATCAGATCGCTGGTTTTTTGGACTCAAACTTTCCACCACCCGCGGCAGAAGTGAAAACAGAACCTGATGGTGGCGATGGAGGAAGTGAGGACAAGCCACACCCCCACTCTCTTCTGTCCCAGTTACCCCCACCGTCCTCCTCCCCCAACGTTGCCGATAGAAAACCCGACGACCTCGCCTCGCCCGCTACTGTTGGCGACCTCGCGGAAGCGGTTGACCCCAACACACCTGTTGACCTTGAACTTAACGCCAGCGAGAAGGAGCTGGCGGCGTTGGGTCTGGAGCGTCTGAAATGTGCTCTCATGTCGCGAGGAATCAAGTGTGGGGGCACACTGGAGGAACGGGCGGCCAGGCTTTTCTCCGTGCGCGGTTTGTCCACAGAGGAGATTGATCCGTGGCTGTTTGCCAAGTCCAAGGGCAAGGGGAAAAAGAGC